AATGAATATAATACGGTACAACACGACACAACAAAAGACAACATGACAAAATAACACACAGAAGAGCGTCACCTATATCCTACCAATGTGCCTTTGTATCCTTAAAACTGTCGGTGGTTGAAATTTGAATTGCAAAATCCTGTATGTTGACGTCACCAAATTCACTGGACCAATGAGGGGGCCCCATTGGATCTACTGGAGTGTTATTGGATGGAACGTTCCACGTGATTGGATTATTGTTCATTCCAATCAACAAAAAACCCCCGCCGTCTGTATGTGTATCACACCACCCCTAGGGATTGAATGATATGTTAAGTTAACTAAATGATTTCTAGATTTCTAGTGGTTGATTGAATAATTTATCAATATATAGATTGGCGTAGTGACTAATTTAAAACTGGTGGTCGATTTATTGATTTTTATTGGCAACTTCATTGTTGATTCATTGATTGATGGATGATAACAGGTTAATTAATTAACTGACTTGTTAATTACTGATAATCATTATATACAGAATGTGCATATTTGTTTTGTAATATAGGTAGAGAAGGCATAATGAGCATGATAAAGAGATCAGATAGCAAACTAACGTATTTCAAACAGTATTACGGCACACTGTTATCGACCTTGATCTACCACAAGTCCGCCTGAGCACAAACCGATTGTTAAATTAGCTGCATATTATCCGAGAAGTAGTAAGATGTGGGAGCATCCTGCCATACTGGGCATAAGATAGTTTTTTAGTCACACAGATTCTACTTTAAAATCGGGCAATTCTCTAATAATTAATAAAAAATTGTAAACCTTTAAAAGCATGTTTTTTCCAAGTTGTATCCAATAGAAACCATCCTTTGCTACGTGAACATTTTCTACGATATCCAAACAATCTTTTGCGGGATTGAATCTCTCGCCAAGTGTAGGGGAACCTTTAAGTATGTAAATGTACGCATTTTTACATTTGGCTTTTGAAATTTTAATATGTCCAACTGAATTTACGGACACTTTTGTAAATGTACATGAATTACAGGTTCGATTTCTGCGATTTCAATCACAGGTTCGATTTCTATATATTTGCATTTTCCTCAGCTGTTCCTGGTTAAATGGTTAAGTCTAATGAATGTATATGAATTTCTACGCGTGATAACTTTTATCTACAAGACTTCTCGACTATTATTCAATCGAGCGAGATGCATGCCAACAAAGTTTTGATATTTATTTTTCTATGGCATTTAATAGTTACAACAATCTCTAATGATAGTTGAAGATCTCTTTGAAAGACATCCCTTTTAATTATATATAACATGCAATACATTCAGACCCAGCCAGACGGTTACCAGAATACCAGTATACCTAAAGTTCCTACTTAATCTTGCGTAAATGTTTACAGTTTACACCCATATTTTAACAATAAAATATTGTATTCCAAATGAGTAAACTGCAATATACCTTGGCGGGCCTGTATTATGGCATAAGTTCATTAACAGTACCATTTTGAAACTTTGTTAGTATTAGTATATAGTTGACCCATGTTAATGTGAACCAAGTGGGTGTGGGGAGGAGGTTGGATGTGCATGTGTGATCATGTTTCTCATTTCCAAGAAAAAATATCTTGTATATGCTACCCAATATTATTCTAACTCCCCCCCTTGGTTTACACCCCCCTGACCAATCACTTACCATCCCGAAATATCCACACATATTTTCCATTGTTTTTTACACAGATTACAACTCCGTCATCTCCTGAAACTTTGCGATAGAATTTACGAACTCCTTTAAATTCCTTTTTACAAGTAGTCATCTAAAAAACATATTAAAAGAGACAAACGAATTACGAATTTTTGCTCCCATTATTACTCACGATAAAAGTTCGATGTTCATATAATTTTTATTTTAGTCAGTATATAATTCGTTAAAGTAAAGAACATCTTGCATGACGCTATATTAGGCCCGTTTTTAGGTGCGATGTTCTTCTGATGGATGTAAACGAGTGGATGAGTTATGAATGTTCAGATGAGGGTTATCGTTGAACTGTAAGGTTCAGAATATCGTAACTCATCTACTCGTTTCCATGCATCAGAAGAGGATAATCGCACTAGAAATCGGGCCTATCTATATACTATCAAATTTCAAGATGAGCAGACTCAAAATGTTCTGGCTGCCGGCCCTGCGGGAGGTTAACTTTAATTAACTTCGGTTTGTTTGTCTGTGCGTTTGTGTATGTTCGCCTGTCTGTAGCGTAACTCAACTATAAAACATTTTCATACAAAAATTCGTGGAAGTAATGGCCAAAGATGCATGGCCAAAGACCCGACAGGTCAGTCAGATTTTGGTTGTTGGATGCAAAAATCTACAAAGTTTGTCTTGTTTTTCTGGGCTGATTATGCACGAGTACTTGACTCAAGTTGCTGTCTCTTCCGAGTGCGCCTCCTATATTTCGCTGTGCATTTATGAAAAGTTGTTGTACTATTTACTTCGAGACGCTAAAGCTCGCGTTGCTTTCGTTTTTGAGGGCTTTGACGCCTTTGAGGCAAAGCATATATATAGTGAAGTATGATAATATAGTATGCGACTTGTATCTGCATGTCACTGACTCACCGGACAATGTAAATCTCTTTCCAAGACACAATATAACTCTCCTTATAGTATTGTGTGCAAATTCTCATATCAGATCATGTGATTTGTCCGTATTATATTTGTTCATTATGATATTTGATTATGGATAAAAAATACATGAAGACCTGATGCAAGAGTGATAAAAGATGAAAATTCACATGTCTGATGACGATTTTACAGCAAAAGCTGCCGACAAAGCAGAACTCTTTCCCAGTTCCAGGGTTGCAGTGCTTCGCAGTGACCGCATGGTGCTTTGGTAAAGCGCCTTGACATGCATTGCAATATTTTCAACCAGCTGAAAATGAATTAAACTTTTTACCTTTGTTTCCGTGAACATGAGCCACTGTACAGATATCAGTAAGAAAACTACGTTTACAGTACGAAGTTTCCCAAATCTCATAAACATAGACAACGCCATTGCAGCAAGTCGTACAGACCACAGACAAAATGAAAAGACGCCAATCGATTTTTTCTGAATGAAATAACTGAAATATATACTTGGATACGAAGTCTTGTTCGATATGTACACAGGTTAATGAATTTTGTAATAACAAGTCTGTATTAAAATCCTAACTTCACACAACCGTCCTATTCCTGTTAATAAAGGTTCACATTTGATTTCCACTGCCGCTACTTCTCACTGGCTTAGTACGTATCTGATTGGTTAATCGGATATATCCAAATGCATCTGATTGGTTACCGCTTCGCTATTCGAGATCGACTTGTGGGCAAGTCTACTGATTGGTTAACGGTCCCTGAATGGTAGCAATCTCGTACCCAGACCATGCCCGTTCGCAGGTTAGGAGTCGGTAGTGTAGCGGTAGCCGGCAGTGGTAGTCAAGTTTGAACCTCTCTAAGTTGTTCTATGTTGCATGACGAATTAACTGTGACCCCTCCAGAGTGCTTCAAGCAAGCAAATTTATAATTATCAATAACGTTATGCAAATAACTTTTCTTTATTGTCGAGCCGATTTTGAATAATTATTGAATGAGGAAGAGGTGATAATATTGAAAATACAGTAAGTGGAAAAATATATCGACGGAAACATTAGGCAACAGGGATATCCTTGATTTAGCTGAGAAGAACCGGAAACATAGATGGGTCAGGAAGTATGACTAATGTCAACATGGTCATCATTTCCCTATAAAGCCTGGTTCACATAACGCATACAGGCTTAACACAGCACATATGATGTCGAATACTCTATCACAAAAACATCCACCTTGGGGCTCAAATATTTGAAATAAATCTAAATTATATACCTTTCCTTCAGCAATTATAGGCGTTGCACAGCTACCAGGAAGAGAACATGCAGGACTAATGTTCGAACTTTATCTGATCGTAGAGAAATCATGCAGACTATTTTGTGCGTGTTTCTAGTCTGCGGAGGTTTGAGACTAAATGAAATGAGCTGATCAGTTTTTTGTGATATTGCCGTTCGAGGATATCGAAAACAGACGGCCGCATGTAATTAAGTCCCCGCATGGAATTAAGTCAACAATACTGTATACACATCACAAGGACCTGTTGTTCGCCAAAGCTACATTGCCCACCGGGTTGTGATTCTCTGAAGCTTTGGGGGATAGCTTTTGCCCCTACCCCCCGACAAAAATAATTAAATTTCGAAAATTGCGTTGATCGGTCGATTAATAATAGTAATAATAATTCATCCTGACCTTATACTCACAGTTAGCGTAGACTGGTCTAGACTCACAAATCATAATGGCAGAATTAATGAAAGAGCCTATAACGAAAGAGATAGAGAAGACTCTGAAAATGCCATTTCTGAATTATTGAATAGACTGGAAAGAACCATGAAATTTATTTCTCGATTACCAATACAAAGTTAATAATACTACTGCTAAATGTTTTCTATTTCATATCTTGTGTATTTTTTCGATATTATGGATAATACCTGTAATATAAACGCTTTCCATGCATGCAGTCATAATCCATGCAGTCATAGCGCGGTAAACGCTTTCCATAATGTCATTTTAGAATTAGGGATTGTATAAAGAAGCTGTATGACTATATTTATGTTGATTACTTGTGCATGTTATATCAAGTGTCAAATGAAACAAAATATTGACTGTGAAGGTTTGGATTCTAGCGAAGATAGATTTGTCCGCCAGGGTTGCTGACTCCTTTCTTATGATTGGGCTGATCTTTGCCACAAGGATCATGTGTTGGCCAGGAACTACCTGTGTGTCCATCAAAGTAATAATAAAACGAGGAAGCATGGAGGGAAGGTCCAGGAGAGTACCATTTCATTCTAGATGGTGCCACACCATTACAAGCTGTTGCCACGTTTCTTATATTCTGACAACTCATTGATCCTTGTATCTTTGTGACCAGACTTCCACCATTTGGTTGACAAACAATCCAATCATTGATGTTTGATCGGAAGCATCAACTCTTTTCCAATGTTCTTCCAAAGATTCCAGTCTACAGCCCCAAGAGATGACTCACTGAGTGGAGGAGTGGTTGAGATTGGGACATTGGCGCCACTGGCAGGCCAGTTTGGATGGGGGGTTACGGCATTGCTTGACGAGCTAAAACTGTTGTAATTTGTGAAGGTGTAGCTGTAAACCAAGGTCCAGCCTCCCCCGTGAGTTTCCATGTCACAGTAAACTTGAAATAATTTACCGGGTGCAGGCTGGATCCAATAAATTCCTGAAACTGCGAATCTGTTTGCTAGGATAGTTTTGCAAGACTTTCTCGTGATTCCTGAAATAAAATAAATAATTAAATTATTTAAATGTAACAAACAAGTTATGATATAGTTAAAAACTATATCGCGTGCAGTGTGTACTCAGTGGAAAGACTTGAGTCATTGACACAAGCGAATTTATTTGCTGCTAGGATATTGTTACAAGATTTTCCTGGGTTTAATTTTGAAACATAAACTGACTTGGCTGAAATAAAAAAGGTAAATTTATACTATGCATATAAGATTGAGTACACGAGTAGTTGATTTCAAACCATTGCAAGCAAGTTTATTTATAATGGTTAGTGCCAGGGGCGCACATTAGGGGGGGTGTGGGGTGTGGGGGGCGTGACACCCCCCATGTTTTGTGAAATATATCTAAAAAGTCGGTCCTGAAACCTGAATGGGACGAAAAAGTCGGTCCGGCTAAAATCTGAAAGATATCATTTTGTGTCGAAAAAAGTAATAGGTGGACATTTTGGAAATGGAGTTGCATAAACATAAGAAAAACGCGTACGCATACACAAATTAGAGTTCACTGACACAAACCAAGAGATCAATTATATGATACTATCAACTTCCGTGTTGCAACAGTTCAGCCAACATAATGCGATCCGATTACCTCAAGCCCCCGCAGTGCAGTTAAAATGTGCATTGTTAGTCTTGTCGTAAAAGCT